GCAGACGATACAAGCATGTAAATCTATGCGAGAGATATACAGTAAAACTGTACACGTTATGGTATCCACGTATAAGTCCATGATGAGCGCGTGTCGTGCGCAGTTGGGCGGGGGGGAGGGGGAAAGAAAGAAAAGAAAAAAAAAAAACTCGTAAGTATCGAGCCTCGATACCACAAGATAGGTACAGAGTCCGAGCTGCTTGGCAGCTACATCAGCGAACGATGACTTTGGACTATGATGTTAGGTGTATGTGCATGTTTACCTATACTAGTAAGTATATATATATATATATATATATATATATATATATAGGTATGGAGTAACGCGGGAGGCGAAGCCCAGACGCATCGTAAATCGAGGCACGCATTTGCAAGCGCACGGGGCTTGCAGAGTATACAGCACCACCAGCTGTATATGTATATAATATATACATTCGTCGCCGGCTCGTCGCGAATTAAATGCGTTTGCGCGTGTATAATATCCGCGAAGCACGAGCGTACGGAAGCGCCTACGCGCCATATATATATATATCCATGTGTGTATTACGTACACATCTGTGTGTGTGTGTGTAAAACTGTAAAGTGTATAAATATTTTAACATAACCTTCACGTGTATGTACACGTATGTACACGATTTATCATTATCACCTTTTATATGTATGTATGTATGTATTCATCGTACAGACATCGATATCGATGCTCATACTGCCTGATACTCGGATTTTCGAGAGTTAAATCGTCACGGCCTATACTCGCCATAAAATGGAATTTTCACCATGCAGGCTACGTGGCTAGGTAGCGGCGCTTCCGTATACGAGCGCGTATACAGGGTGCGCGTGTGAGCCAAGGCGGCGCTCGGTCGCGTGCGCGTATAATTAGGCGTAATGAAGCGGACACCTTATCTATACACACACAGAGCGAAAGCAAAAGCGCGTGTCTACCTGTATATAGTACACACACACACACATACACTACTACCCTGCGTGTATATAATATAAATAGGGGGGTAGGAGAGCTGTAATAAGGAAAAGAGCCACGAGCATCGGAGCAGAGCTCCGCACGGGACGGAGAAGGTGGAGGCGATGTGCCAGAGACACGTACATACATATATACACACATAAGTATATGATACAACACAACCACGATCAGCGTGGCCCCGTGTATGCATATGCACCGGCTGGCTGCAGTCTGTGCAGTCTCTGGCGGCGGAGACCTGATTAATTCACCGCGCGGCGCGCTTTCACGCACACGTATACACACACACACACACACCAAGAGAGAGGCGGACACGTCGACGGGGCGGCAGAGCGCCAGCGGCGCCCGATCCCTACGTATATACAGGTATATAATTATATGTGGCCTCTTTGAAACGGCGCGCGTTAACAGCCTCGACGGCGGCAGTGGCACGGCTCTCTCTGGCATTGCTGCCCACAGTGTTATACCTATATATGCGTGTATAATATGTACACTCTGGCACGGCGCGTATACATGTATACAATAAAGTGTGTGCTGCCGAGAGCGACCCCTTCCTTCCACGGCCACCTTCTTCCTCCTCCTCCTCCTCCTTCTCATCCACCGCTGGTACGCCTTTCCGTGTGTACACACAAAAGCGACCGCGCGTTCGCATCGATTTTTTGCAAAAGAGCCCGACTGTGGCGAAACGTGTGTATACAATATATACAGCGGGCGATGACTATACCCCAAACGGTGATATACGTGTGACTCGGCCGCGGGCCACTTCCCACCCCACCTAATATATATATATATGTACCGGACCGTTCTATTTACAATTTGTGCATACGCTAATTGCCGCGACTCTATGTAATAATAATAATAATATCGTCCGCAATGAAAACAGTGTTGTATATAGTCGAGGGAGGAAAAAAAAAAAAGTTACGTATAGATATTATGTATGTACTGACCTTGTTGTGGGGCGGCTGCGTCGGGACGTAGAGCGGGGGGTCGAGCCCGGGGGCGGTGACGGCGTGGCGGCCGACAATCCTGTCGGCGGGTTTGGGCTCGTATCCCTCGGGCTGGCCGATGTGGAATCCCTTGCTCTTCACCCAAAACCGAAACTTGCTGTTCTCGGCGCTGTTGGCCTCCTCGCCCCGCAAAGTGCGCAATATCCGCCCGTACTTTTTGATCGTGATTGTCTTGGTCTTGGCCAGGTCCCCGTACGTCTTGATCACCCACGGCTGGTAAGCCCCGAACATACCGTCGTCGGGGAAGGTAGCGGGCAGGCCGCCCTCCGAGGGTGGGCCCTTGCTGCCGACGGGCTCGTCGGCCGGGGTCGAGCTGGTGGCAGTGGTCGCCGAGGCAGGCCAGCGCCCGGCGGCGGCGACTGCGGCAGCGCTCGTCATGTTCGATATGTCGAGGTAGGTGGAGACGGCGTTGGGGGCGACCTTGCCGAGGCCCGCGGCGGCCGCTCCTACGAAGGTCGCCATGGCCGGGCTCATGTACATGGGGGAGGCGAGGCCCTCGGCGCATAGGGCGCGTTGAGCTTCGATGGACAGGCCGGCGATGGAGGCGTAAGGCCGGGGGTCCGACCAGAGCGGGGGCCCGGCGCTGGCCATCTTCTTGAGGTCGAGTTCCTTGAGGGACTTGTTGGCTTGGGGCCGGCTGGACGAGCGTGTCTTTTTCGGGGCCGGGGGCTCCGGGGAGCTCTTGTTGAGGTTGCCCTGGGACGGGCTGTTGTTGTTGTCGGAGCGGCCGCGCTTGCCCGAGGAGGTGGAAGGCACCGGTGGGACGCGTCGGCGCAGGCCCATTGTCGCCATTGGCCCGAGTCTTGCTCTCTCGATGGGTGGAGGAGTACGAGGTTTTTGCCGCTTGGGACGAGTCGAGCGCTCCAAGTGTCCGTCCGTCCCGGGACCCTCTATCTCTCTCTCTCTCTCTCTCTAACTGCGGGAAAACACCGAGACCTTGGTTACGCCGTGATGATTGCTCCTCGACGATCGACCGCCTCTCTGAATCATAGCCGTCCTGTTGACCATAAAAAATCGATATTCTCACGATTAGCGCTTTTGGTTTGCATTAATTATCTGAGAGGTATCTACGATCTTAGCACTAGAATGTGGTGTCATTTTACAGTGATGTATAATTACTAGATTGACATAACATTGTATACACGTTTATAAGTTGCGTCCAAGCGTTTGTACTTTGTTTCCTCATCGGTTGAGGGGGAAAAAAGGCTGTTATTTTTTGTAGCGTCACCACAAACGGCTGTTACAGGATGGACAAAAATGATCTTTGACCTTTTTTTTCGCTTTCGGTAAAAAAGAGAAAGTCACTAATTTTCTAATTAAAAGCAAAAAAAAAAGATTTTCCGATCCAGCACTTTTTTCCTCCTCCCCGAGATATTGGGCTTACTAAATTGCTCCCCACCGAGCGCTTAGCGGCTTATCGCAGCGACAAAACTCTACGAGGCTCTCACGATAAGCTACGACACTTGCACATAAATATCGGCGAGCGTCAACACAGATCGTGGCAAACGTCGCTGGGGAGAGCGAGCCAGCGCCTTTTTTTATTCGGAGAGCCATATATGTATAATAATAATAATATGTGTATAGGTAGAGCGCCCGCATGCGAAACGGAGGAGAAAAGAAGGGGATCGAACGAATAACCATCAGGGGTAGAAAAAGAGGGGGAGGAGTACAGCAGAGAGTCATCATCCGCATCGGGGGCTAATGATGTAGGTGTGTATATATAACAATACATATACATATGTATACTCGCACGCACACGCACCAACAATAGGGAGTGCACGCTACCAAAGAAACGACCCGTGCGGCATTGCTCGCAATCATAACCACCCTCCTTTTGGTGGGGAGGGGGGGGGGGTCCCTTGATCAACAGCCCCCCGCGGCCGGGTGGTCTGGCGAGGCTATTATACACGGCCCCCGTCGTCGCGAGCACAACTATACGTATTATGGCTGTACCCACTTTGAGTAGTCGCGTAACGTGTCACCGCATTGTGCAGCCCGAGCGTTAAATAGGCCGTCATTGTTCGAGACAAATGTTTCGTGGCGACTATAGGTGTATCATATGCGCGCACGGACCTTCGAAAACCTACTCGCTCTCCCTCTCCATCTCGGGTATACATATATAGGTATATTTCTGTACCGGCCAAAGCACACGTATATACCTATACACCCTCTCTCTGCAGTGCATATAGGTATAGCGTTGAAGGCACAAAGGAGGGGGTGGGTTGGGCTAATTAAATTCGAGGCGAGTCTCGGGACGAGCCTCCGAGGTCGCCGCGTAGCGCGGGATTCGTGCCAATAATTACACATATACGTTACAATGCCGCGCACCGCGTCAAACATTTCGAGGAGTCCCATCTCGTGCACGCCACTACGTTATTTTCCCCTGACCCTCTCGGATCAACTGTACAATATATAGGATGTGGGATCATGGTTTTGTAACACTCGGTATATAAATGATTATACCTATATATGTATACGCTCTCGGGTGAGCAGCTGCAGCTCCGGAAATTCTGACGAGCGGCTATGGGGATATAGGTATTCGGGCACTTGGCGACCGGTGAAAAACGGAATTCCCAAGAATTCGAACTTTAGCTAGGATCGTTTGTTCGTTAGCGCTAGTTCGCGGAGAGATTGAAAAATGATGTGGTGGTCGGGTGTGCGGGTGGGAAGGAGAGTAATAATCAGCGAAATGACCAGCTATGCTCGTTTCATATGTATATATATATACATATGTAGCCAATGTGTATTCGGTGGGGAGAGGTGGGGTATAGAGCTGAATTCCCAAACGGGCGGGTGTGGCGGGCTACGTCCCGACCGTACAACGGGGCGGCCTGCGCCGGCCAGCATCGGAACGGATACCGCTATATATACATAGTACCGGCGGTCTGCCGTGTACGCCTCCCTCCCTTTCCCGGTGCTCTCTCTCTCTCATCTATCCGCCGCCCTCTCGGGCTACTGGGTGCTGGTGCTACATAGATATACACGTATATGTAGCCGTTTCTCTCTCGCGCGGCGGCGGCAAACCATCACCCGCCCACCGCCGTTTCGCCCCGACGGTTGCGATGCCGTTTTCGTTTTCCACCGCGCGACGTCCAGACGAGATTTTCGCGCCTCGCTTCTTCGCCCCCTCCCACCCCACCCCCCTTTACACGCTATATACACCACCGTTTTATTCCGTCTCCCTCGGCTCACCCTACACGGCTACTTTCCGCGATTCGCGCTCCCACCGATCGCACTCACGTCCGTGTGATTCGATCCATTACTCCCTTTTTTTCTTCTATTTTTTTTTTTTTAATCCAAAATTTATTATTTTCGGATACCCGTTCCATCTCTCGCGCCAACATTAATCGCCGCTGCGTGTAATTAACGTTAATTGGCGGCTCGATCGTGCGGACAATGAGCGTCGAACGGCACGATCGCGAATTCGAAAAGTTCTGAAGCAATTTGAGAGGCGGGGGAAAAAAAAAAATTGTAAAAATTCGAACCCCCGACACACTGGATAATATAAATGGAAGGATGTAAAAAAAAAAAAGACGACGGATGGTATTAATCATACACGAAACAAATATTAAAAAAAAAAAGAGACAAGAGGTGCGACTTACGCTGAGGTGTGATCGTCGAGCTGGTATACGTATCAACGTAGACGGGAGAGCGAGCGATGCGGAACTGCTTCCGATGGTTGTTACGTATGTATCGTAAAAATGTGACGTTAGATTGTACACCGCTGGTGGTGGCCGCAGCGCGAGATCGTAGTGTCGACTGGCGCGCTACTAATCCCACTCAATCAGGGGTCCCGCGGCTGGATGACGTTCCGACGGCGTTGGTGGCGGTGCTGTACGGCTCGACGGTAACGGCACACCACGACCCGGCAATGAGGGGGGGGGGAGGAGGCCCAACTCTCTCTTGGTGCACGGATCCAGACTCGCGGCGCGCTGGAGCGTCTGTCTGGCGGCTCCTGCTGCTACTTGACTTGCCTGTCGTCGTCCCGTCGCTGGAGTGGGCGGCCGCGGAAGCGCGCGCACACCACGCGGTATCCCAGCAAACCGAGCCGATACTTTAACAGCCACCACTGTACATGTATATATACATATATCGATATAGCCACCGCAGGTTCTACCTACGCGTTAGATTGCCCGTGTATATACCTTATAGCGACGTCGTCCCGCGCGCGGCGAAAGCAATCAGGGTGCCGCGGCAGCAGGGAATTATATTTATAAAATATACAATATAATTTATACGTTACACCACTTTATATATTAATATATGTATATATATGTATGTATATACGTATTATAATATGTTGCTGCCGATGCAGGAGAATAAAGAAGAGAGAAGCAGGCGGCCCGGCGTGCGACGGGACACTGGCAGGCGCGCTCGCGCGGGTGGCTGCCCTGACGCTCTCTCTGTCGCTCTCTGTGGGCTCGCTTTGGCTCTCCCTCGCTTGCTCCCTGTATATCCCCGTACACTATACTTATATGCTCTGCGCCGTCGAGCCGGCGCTGCAGCTCCGCTTCGTGTATAATGTTATATTTATACGTACACGCGGAATTCTTCGAAAAAAAAAAAAATCCTTGGGGATGGACAAAGGAGGCAAGAATTTAAAACTTGTATTTTTCGATAAAAATCCTGATGGCGCAGCTTTTTAGGGCAAGAGTGCTCAACAAGGTTATAACTGTATTATTTACATATATTTTCGAGAAATCGACAAGTGTATAATGAATAACGGCCTAATGATTTACTACAGCTTGCGGGGGTGAAAAAAAGGAATACGAGGGTAGGCCGATGTGACAATATTTACGTACGGTATGAGTATACACCATATTTTTAGACCAAATCGAATTATTTGTTTCTGATTAGGTTCGAATTTCGTGTGTGACTTCCTTTTTCCGCTCTAATAATTTACAATCGGGGAAAGGAAAGCATTCCCAGTGTACTTTCACTGCGGAACTGTCAGGGGAAAAAAAAAAAAAAAATTATTTTTTTTCGACCCAACTTTTCAAATTAACACGTTTTAGTGTTCTTATCGGAGAAATTGGTGAATCTTGCTGATGTTGAATTTTTTCGTACACGTATCATTTGAAAGTCAATCATAAAAAAAATATCAAGAAAGAAATCATAGCTCGACAACGGTCTACTGGTTATTGAATAAATTGAGCCGACAGCTGAAACAACTGATTAAGTATATGGTTGAACAAATAAGTTTCTGATTGTTACACCAGAGTATGGCATGAAATAAACTTTAGACTTAAAAAAAATACGGTAATTTTCTTTGCGAAGCTTTTATCGGGACTGAAAATAAAAAAGATGGCGGATTGTTCGGAGACGTAGCCAAACGAATCCACCTCCAGACGTGCGGACTCATCGATTACCAAGAGCATATATTTAAAAATTTTCGAATTTTCTTCACGACGTGTAGGTATGCATCGGTAATGAAACGTGATTTTTCAAAGAGCCCGACGTGTACGGCGCGTGTAATACGGCTGGCCACGCTCGGCTGCTCCGACGCCTCTCCGGCTTGGTTGCCGCTATACCGCCGGCACGGGACAAGCGCACACACCATCGCCACTCGGCGTATACACATATACGTATAGGTATAGCACCGTCCCGGGACGCCGTGGCGCGACCGCGGAGAAACCGACACGAGCCGCATATACCTACCTACCTTACACCTACATCCTACATATAGGTATAATATATACCAACCGCTACTATATACCGCCGCCGCTGCTGCTGGTATACTCTCTGGCTGGTTGGGTCGGCGGATGGGCTGGACGCAGGGGGAGAGAGGAGAGCTGCATGTAGGTATATACATACATATGCACCCAGTGGGCGCACGTGCGTGTCGCGCGCAGCTGCTGCTTCTGCTGGCAACGTTAGAGCAGCAGCCCAAGAGACCCGAAACATGCACATAGGTATAACATCTGTGTGTGTGTGTATGTAGAATATTATATAGAACCCACCCACCCACCTACCCGTACTAGGCGCAGCGTGTGATACGTATACCCACACGTATAAGAGAGAGAGAGAGAGGAGTGCAGGGGACCCCAATGCGTGACGGGGGGCGGGCGCAGGCCATGCGAGGGGTGGCGGAGGAGGAGGACGGCGGGGTGCCAGTGGCGTCGGCGTCGCGACACCCGCAGCGCCCGCTAATCGAATGAGTCACGTCAATTAGTAGCGCCTGGGCTACGCGCTCCGCACCCGGTATATATATATATGTATACCTATATACCTAGGTTATATGAGTAGGTACTGCGTTTATATACATATATGTAACGCGCAGCACCAGAGAGAGAGAGAGAGAGTTCCATCGCTAGACTAGCTGCCACGTTATTTTTTACGCGTTTCCAAGAACATTTGTACCAACGGTACTTACTCGCATTTCTACTACTACTATTTCTACTACTTACTTATAAAATCTTATAATACTATTTTGATATTCACGAGAGAACCAAGTTCCTCTATACTTGTTCTCCAATAATATGAAAAAAAAAAAAATTTTTAAGAATCTTTTTTTTATCAAGAATTTTTCCACCGCCGTACCATGGCCTATTGTACATCAGTTTTGGCAAATCAAAACCTTAGAACCAACACTTTGTTGGCTCGACACACGGAAAAAGAAAAAGTGGGAGATACGGAGGTGGAGCCGGCTGGGAAAGCCCAAAGATAAAACACAACCGTATACACATATACCTCCGCGTATCAGACGTTCAACCATATACAAGTGTAATATGCAAAGACCCACAACGAGGGGGGGGGGATTGGAGTTAAGGACACGCACACTTTACGAACCAAACACGAGTTCGAGCGAGGGCCCTTTGCTTATCGTTCCCCCCCCCCTACTTATAGCCCCTGCCATTAAACTTTGATCTCATATCATTTATACACACCCGCCCGACCTTCCCATCCCCAGATGGTATCTCCTCCTCTCCTCGGGTGTACATTGTATACACACACTCCTATACGCGAGATGATCTAATCATCGTTATCATCGTCATCTCTGGAATGCAGTGTTCCCCGAGCTCAGTTGCACTCAAACGTCCCGCAATCTGCCCCAAAAACATTTACTTCCCCCACGATTGAAACGAGAGCGCATATTACATATACTATGTTTCAATATACGTGTACATAGAGCGCCATCGGTGATGGGTGTACCAGTGATAAATAATATGCCGATCGAGTTGGGAGGTGAGAATGGACGCAGGTGGCGACGAGCTTTGCGGGTATACGGGGTCAAGTGGGTATATAGCCGCACAAGGCGGAGGAGGGAATATCGAGCAGTATAGCATCGAGAGATTGAAAAGCCGCGACGGGGGTGGGGGGGGAGCCGTTGTTTGCTTTCTCACTCGGCTCGCTCGGCGGGCCGTCGACAAACAACGGAGAGCTGTGCACATCAGGTATATATTATAGTGGTGGGCTCGTTAGAGAGACGCAAATATATATATGTATTTGTTGTTGTGTCGTGTACCCACACGTACCTTCGAGTGGTGTATAAACGCCGCTGGCTGGCCTCCGCCCTTATCGGCAAAGCTCGCAGTGGTGCTGGTGGTGGGTATGTCCCGCGGCCCGTCTTGGCGTGCCTCCAGAGATCCGTAACTGCTCCCCCTTTTCCTCGCTCAGGCCGTCCCTGAAACACTAAGCGCCACGACGCCCCCGCGGGTCCCTCCGCGGATGCATCGTGGCACCGAAATAAAAAAAAAAAAACAAAAAAAAAACAACTTCCACCTCGCGCGGCCGTGTACACTTTCCGGGAATTAATAAAAAACGCGCACAAAGTTAATCATCGGCCGTTGATTTCGTTGAATTTTTGATCGTTTTGCCGATGAGCGGAGAGAAAATTAAAATTAGTAAAAGTGGCGGGGAAAATAAATGCCGACGCTTTCACTCCGGCGCGAGCGAAAAGCCGGGGCTTTGAATATTTTTCGCGGGTGAGAGTAAGTAACTTGGATATATACGTTTACGAGAGGAAGGAAAAAAAGGAGCGCGGGAGCGCGTGGTGGAGTTGTGAAAAATAAAGTCACGGAGGATGAGCACACCGAAGAAACAGTACAACCAGTGGACACGATGGTTAAAGGTAACTGTGTGTAGGTCCCGGCCGATCGAAAAAGCCGGAGGTTCGAGACGCAGCGACGCCGGGACCAAAGTGAGCCTCGCCACTCCGTCTAACCTGCGCAAAATGCCTCCGACTGACCCCTGCCTCGCTAACTTGGGCCGTTCTCATCTCCCGATCGCACCTCTGGACCAGTTCCGGTTCCCTTGTTTTTTTTTTTTTTTTCCCCGCGCCCATCTCACGGATAGAGAGAAAAAGGGGGACGGATGCTGTCGCTGGGAACTGGACAGTGGTCAAGCGGCGAGGGATGCTGCCCGGCGTGTTCGGAGAGATCGGAAAGGGGTTGCCGCCGCGATGGCCGGAGATTCTGGTTTCGCGGCAACTGGCCGGGGAGGGGCGGCGCGCTGGAAGTGCCGCGTGAGAAAATCTTTCGCCTGTAAATATGCGTATATATACGTGCGCCCACCGGAAGCGGGATTCTGCGCTTTGTCTGTGGACCCTCGATTGTGCGGATATTTTTGCACTCTGATGGCTCACTGGAGAGATCGATGTGTATACGTATTTTTTTTTTTTTTTTTTTTTTTTTTTTTTCATACCAGCGTCACGTGTATGGCTTTTACACGAGATCGTTCGCGAGATTGCACTCTGTGGCGGGGATGACGGGGAAGTTAACGGGCTACAAAATACTTGACGATTAATTTATACGGAAATAATTGCCAACACCTCTACTACATTCGATTCGATCAGATGTAAGATGATTATCGTCCCTACTGTTTTTGTGGGTCGCATATACAGACTGTACAGGGGAGAGACAGCATCACCAGTTGATTCTCACGCCGCGCGGTGTGATGAGTCAGTTGGTCAACGTGTACATGTCGTGTTGTGGTACAGTGAGAGAGAAAGAATGAAAAGTTTTTTATTGCTTTGCCTTCTGTAGGGATTGATTACTTTTTTCATAAATTGTCAACCTAATTTTCGCCGTGCGAACAGTGAAAATCACCGTACTTACGATAGTAATGACTCTTGACAGTAAAGTGAAAATTATCGAGTAAATAGTCAAAAGTATATACATGTACAGGAAACGGAGTGATACTGTATGTATAGGTGAAGCACTGATGCACAGTAATTTTCATCATTTTATTTTTTCCTCTCGACGTACGTAATTATATTTTCACCCGGGAAGGTAGTCAACGTGGATAAAATGGGGCCATTACCATCGGCTTGAATCTTTCGTTGGAAAGAGCGGGTGGGTCAGTTAAGTTAATTAAACAG